CCAGCACCCCCTTTCTCCCCGCAGCTCATTCACAACCACGCAGATACAACCGCGCGCACACTAACACATGAAGCAACCGTGGCTAGGAAGTGAGACCGTTGCCCATCCTTGCATTCATTTCATCCATTGAGGTCTAAACATAGAAGCTACAGCGAAGACGCTCAGCGCGCCTCGTTCCCTCCTTTCTTCCTTTCCCAAACACATAAGACATCCTCGCGCGCAAGCGGCGTACCGTTTTCACCCGAATAGAACGCCCGGTCATTACGGCTGCATCTGGACTGAAAGTTGCCCCAAATACGTCTATAATGACCGGCCGTTCTACTCGGCTGATGACGGTAAAGCTGCGAAAGGGAGAACGTCAACACGATATAAGCATGCATCGATGAAACAGACGGAGCTACAAAATGGCATACGTACATACTTATACGAATGATAGAATAATTAGCCGCGCGCGATGCCGCCTCCCCGCTCGACAAAACAGGAACACCTTCACCGTTTCCTTTCCTTGCCCCAACCCCAAATGAAACAGGACAAGAATCCTTCGAAGCGTTTCCTCGCCCAGTAACGCCGCCAGAATGTATGGGCACAATTCGCAGCGCCAAAGCTTTACGCAGGTTCGTTCAGGGTACAACCCATCCCATCCCACTCACCCTCTCAAGAAAAGAAAAAGACCAATCCTCTCAAAGACAGAAACAAAAAGAAGGCAATGTGTCCGTCTCCTCTTACAACGCGACCCACTGCTCTGGGAACCAAAAGAAGGCAATTTGTCCAATCCGTCTTCACTAACAACGCGACTCACTGCTCTACAAACCAAACGAAGGCAATATGTCTTCTCTTACAACGCGCCCCCCTTCTCTCTCTCTCTCTCTCGGCAATGTGTCTTCTCTGACAACGCGACCCACTGCGCTCTCTCTCTCTCTCTCTCTCTCTCTCTCTCATGCGCACCCTGCAAGCTTTATTCTAGACAAGATTCTAAGGCGAAAGGAGGAAGGACGTGCATAGTAGAAGAGGGCAAGGAGTTCCTTTGCTGACAATGACAAAAAGAGAAGAACACATACCTGAATGATGGGGACGATGGRGAGKGGGKGGGGAGGGGAGGGGRGGGGAGGGGAGGGGAGGGGAGCGTGAGCAGAGAGATCAGTAAGGACGTACTCACAGTGGGACATCGTCAACCGAATCTGGCCTTTTTTGCGGTTAGATGCATCGAGAAACACCATGCTATGGGTATGCCCTAAAATAATGGGGGTGATGGTTCCGAGAACTGCGTGCATGCCTGATCATCTTTGCAGTCTGCAAACGGGCGGACGATAAAGAACCGAACCTGGCTGATGGGGCACGTCGACGAATCAACACTTTGAACACTTAGTGCATATACTCACAAACAACACACGACGAATCTAACCGCAACTACGACCAGATTGCGCCCACAGAGTGCGTGTGTGTGTCTACGGCCTTGGCGACGTAATGTTCCCTGCCAGCACCGCCGGACTATTGACACCCACAGACGCCAGGCTTCAGACGACTCCGACAAAACAGCAGAGCCGCACTGCTCCTTTCTTCTCCGTGCCTTTTCCATACACCACTCTCAAAATGTGAAAAAGAAACAAAAATGTGGCGAGTGCATCTGGCCATGTTCTAGCAGGGAAGTTCATTCACAATTTGCACATTTCGAGAGTGGTTTGGTGATGCCCTAAAATTCCCTCCCACTTGTTTCCCCTCCCATTGGCTTTCCCTTAGCCAACTCACCAAATCTGCCTCGCATTGCTTTGCTGGCGTGTACTCCGCGACCAGCACGCGCTGTCCGACTGTAGTTCGGAGAGTGCCTATGGCGTATCACGCGAATAGAACGCCAGGTAATTATCACCGTATCTGGGCTGAAAGTTGTGCCAAATACAGATATAATGACCGGGCGTTGTATTCGGATGAAGACGGCAGCACAGAGTCCTGTTCCGGGAAAGATCGGTTTTTGGGCGGGCAAACGGCCTCTTTTCGGATTTTCGGAAATCAGCAACACCGTCCGCTAAACAAAAATTTGCTACCGAAGGAGGGGAAAAAAAAAAAAAAAAAGTCGCTACCGCCAGCAGGTGCACGACCTTACGGAAGTGCGAGGGGGTGGCGCCAACCAGCTCCACAGAGTATGTGCACGGCCTTCTGGAATAGCCAAAGGCAGCTGAGCGCCTCGCTCAGCTATATATAGGCTTCGAGATTCAACATTGGCTAACGAGATTCAACATTGGCTAACGGCAGGTGCGCCAGGAATGCAGCGTTAGACCGCCAGCAAATCGCCCACGCAAACTTGAGAATAGAAATAGCAGGGTTATAACGGGTGCGACGAGCCAGCAGATTCCCGCATGCACGGACGTTAGCCGACGCAATTGTGAAGACTGACGGCCCAGCTATCAAGTCACCCCTATCAAGTCTCCGCCCCCCGCTACCGGTATGCCAAACCTGGCCGAACCTAGAGCTACCGGTAGCAGGAGAGTCTTCATTTCTAAAAACAAAAACGACAAAGAAAAAGCAAAAATAAATTAAAAAAACGAGCAAGATTATCCTTTTTTTAAAGGGGAAATTTGTCTGGTGCCCCTCTAATTTCGATTTATTTTCCACTCGTACCTTTGCCGCGGGTGGGCCTCCGACCGGAGGCGGAAACGAAATCAGATTTATCAATGGCAGCCGTCGTCGGGCCCAGCCTCGGACATTTTAGGAGTTCGCGAAAACGTCCACTTTTTCCTATTTTCCCAACACTGGCGGAGGTACTGGTGCTTCCCCGTTAATTCCTTAAACCACCAGTACTTGGCCCAGCTATCGGCCGCGGCGCTTCCCCGTTAACGCACCGTGCCTTTAGAGCTTCGAGGTACCGGACCACAATGGCTGGAAGCGCCAGCCAAAAAAAAATTGAAACTGTACCCCGGCGCTTCGGCAAAAATTGGCGCGCAGGGGCATTCCAGGCTCGGCATCGATAGCTGGGCCAAGTACTGGTGGTTTAAGCCCAGCCAACTCAATTACCTGGTAAACAATATGACAAGGATCAAGCAGGCGGTTCCAAAGGAGTGGACCCGCTGGACATTCGGTATGTCCCACCGACAACAATGGACCTTCCCCCGTGGTATGGAAAGTACAGGGATTGACAGAAAGTGGGTTTCGGAAAGTTCAGGAGTGGTCGGTATGGCCCACCAATGGAGAGCTCAGAGAAGTGGGGGAACGAGTAATTCAATCTTGGGATGGTCTCCCTCAAATTCGGGTAGTCCAGGTGCGGGATGTGACGAACTGCTTTACGTAAATGCGCGACTTTTGGCGCGGCTGTACTTCGCGGGTTGCACATGACGGTTGGTAATCGATCATGCCTAAGCGAGCAAGAAAATCACCGTTGCCATAGCTTCTTTCTTATTCTGGTGAGAGGTTAGGAGATTTTGGCGCGATTGTCTCACGGATAAATCTTTTTTAAATATTTTTAAACTGATGTCAAGCCCACACGGGTTCTCGGAATTTCTTTCTTGCAATGAGAACTTTAATTAGGCTAGGAATTTGGGTGCATCGTAATTCTACCTGCAACTACACGATGCTTCTTGCTTACGCGCGCTTTGCCGCGCCAGGGTCTGTGTTCTGGCTTCTCCACGCCTTAATCCCGCGCGTAACTGTAATTCTCATTTTGGCAAGCGCAATGTAACTATAATCTTCTCTTTCTTGATATCTTTGTCGCGCCCCTGTGCGCACATACCTTCCTCGATCTTATTGGCCTGAACATTGCATGACTGGATCGATGCGTGGAGAGTGGCTACGTCCCCCACGTCGCGGCCTGGCCATGCAGTCGTAGACACTTCCTCCCTTCTTCTTTTCCTCCCACTCAGGCACAATCCAAATTATCTCGCATGAATACTCATGCTATAAATCCCGCAGGCGCAATTAACTCACTCTCTAATCAACTTTGGAGTTAGCGTGATCAAGAGGATCGGCTAACGGGCAGGAGCGAGACGGTGAGTAGGGAGTTGGGCGATCGGACGGGTTGGAGCTGGGTATGCGGGGTTGACGTGTGGCTGCGAAGGACTGTGGCACACGGGCGAACCTGGCTTGCATATTCAGACTAAGTGGGGTGACAACTTTGTATCAGTAGTAGGTGCAAGGCGACAGACTGCCCGCATCGGGGTGGTGTAGAGAGAGAGAGAGAGAGAGAGAGAGAGAGAGAGAGAGAGAGAGAGAGAGAGAGAGAGAGAGAGAGAGAGAGAGAGAGAGATGTTGGAATAGTGTTTTTCTTCTCTTCTAAGCAATTTTGATGTCTGGCGCAAACCATCTTCTCATTCGTGGCTATCTTGGGTTTTTCTCTTCTGTGAGTTGATGAATGGTCTGATCTATCCCTCCCCTGCCCCTTCCTCCTTCTAATTAGTTGCCAACTCGATCACCCATGTATGTTCCCTGGTCAGATCCCATAAATGGTATGATGTGAATGACTAGATGTTTTGATGCATGAATGCTTATCTTTTCCTCGCCTTTTCCTCCCTGTAATATGGATAAGCATGTTGGTTGATTAGATGTTTGTGTCACATTGAGCTTACCAACGACATCTCTTGGCCTACGGGTCGATGTATGTGTGTTAAAAACTGTGAGAATTCCTAGCCTGTCGAAGGAAGATTTTGTGCACACACGTACTATGCGCCCGACCGAAGGTGGTCATCGTGTATACGCGTGTCTACAGGATCTACCCCCGGTCTGATTGCCTATCGCGCACCACGAATGTATGGACTTCCACCCCACCACGCAACATGAACATTGAAACTCCCTTCCGGATCACTGACTGCAAGTGTCTGAGGGATCGCGAGTTCCGAGAGTATTGGGAACGCGCATGTTTCTCTGCACGCCGGAGGACAGAGCTTCCGGAGTTTCCGTACCAAACAGGAACCAAGCGTATCTGCGAGTGGGATATCGGGCAGGCCTTAGAACGCATTCCCCATTTCCCCGATTGTCCCAGCTCGTACACGTGTCAGATCGTCGTTGAACCCGGTATTGTCATCCTTGAAATAGAGTTCCCTCCCTATCACCTTCTATTGCCCTTTCATCGCCTAACCGTTGCCCTTTGGCGTGCACTTGCCCCCTATTGGCCATAGTCGCAATGTTTCGAGTGTCTGTGAGACCACGCTTACCGAGCATCGGGATTCATCCGGCGAACCAGCTGGGACACCGAACAATGGGAGCACAGCCTCCGGCTAAGACCGACCACGTCAGATTCTGAGACCGGCGAAACCCGCCGATAACAGGTGTTGCACCTGCGGGACAACCATCGCGTCCCGATGGTACACAAAATACGACTCCGCCCCAGACGACGGGACCAATGGAGGTGACGGCCCCATTCCACGAGGCCTAAAACAGAACCCTCGTCCTTCGCCCACTCGCTTGCATTCATATCCTTGGGACTTGATGCAGGAGATCTTAGTTCCGACCTGGGACTCCACCCCTATTTTCCTAAAATCCTTGGCACACCCCTTTTTCACACTTCCAGACCCACCACCTCTCTGAAACAAGAAGTCGCACTGGGCATG